GGGGTTGACGGGAAGGGGGGAGGAAACAGGAGCTCACCCTGTTTAGCGTGAAGGCTGGACTCGAACCGCCGAAGCGTCAGCCATTTCTGGCTGGCAACTTTCAGCATCATTAAGCTGCTGCGCCACCGCGTCCCCCACCGAAAAACTATACTGGCATGAAATTTCCTGTGCAGTCCTTGGGGGTCTCTGAGCTTCGCTCTTTTCTTGCAAATGTTTCATTACCCAGCTAGGTAACATCTTCAGTGCTAGAATGGGATGGAGTTTGCTCTCTGTTTATATACTGTGGCATGCCCTGCCAGTGTTGGGGGGGGGGTTGTTTGAAATTTCCTGCCCCCACTAGCAATTCTGATCCTGGCACAGGCACAATTTCAGCAAATAGTGGTGCATGGTGTGTTAAGGAAAGGGATAAGGGTGGATTTCTGGTTTTGATTCCTTCTTTTGCCACCAAACTGTTGGCTAAAAAAATAGCCACCAAGCCCTCTCTGTAAGGTGGGATTGGGCTGGAAGAGGAGACGTGTTTTGACAGACGGCTACCTCAGCAAGTTTAGCTGTCAACCCTCTCTCTGGTTTTCTGCAAATGTTTTGCGTCGGTTCATTCAAAGGGAGCCTGGCTTCTTTTTGACCATGATTGATGGGTTGATTATGTGACATCCAATGTGTGTTGACTCTTAGTGACCACATAATTAGATTTGCTCCAGGAGGATCTGTCCCCAGCCTGGTCCTTCGGGTCTTCCAAGATTTTGAACATGGGTTTAGTGCTATACCAGAAGAGCAACAGCAGGTTTGAACAACAGTTGACAGACAGGAATGGGGCAAGGGTAGGGTTTGCTTGAAAGCACTGCCCTACATCAACATACAGCTCCTCCACCATGACTGCTCATCAGCTCCTGTTTAAATTGATCCAGCTTTGGGAGCTGGCTTGGAGACCTGATAGGAACAAAGGGAGAACTTGATTTTTTTTTTTGATTTTTTTTAATCCCGCCTTTCTTATTTTTATAAGTAACTCAAGGCAGCGAACATACCTAATCCTCCTTCCTCCTCCTATTTTCCCCACAGTAACAACCCTGGGAGGTGAGTTGGGCTGAGAGGGAGTGACTGGCCCAAAGTCACCCAGCCGGCTTTCATGGCTAAGGCGGGACTAGAACTCACCATCTCCTGCTTTCTAGCCTGACGCCTGAACCACTAGACCAAACTGGGTCTAAAAAAAGAAACTCTCATTGCCCAAAGCAGAATGACCTTGGAAGACAGCATCCAGGGAGCAGAAAGGAAGGGGTTGGCCCATACCAGCCTAGAGGTGTTGAGCTGAGCTGAGCTTCCTCACTAGGGATCACCAAGAGAAAGCATGTCAGATTCCATCCATGTCAAAGTCTGTTTCAGGAGTAGGGGGGAAACACTCCTGAACTTGTCTTAAATCTTATTGGAATGAGCAGGAGTCACTGCTAAATAAAACCTGTCTGTAAGCACCAATGTTGAAGGTGCTGCATCACTTACCAGTAGAGCACATTGAAAGTGCTGGTTCTTAATGAGGTACATGGTGCAGCTCCAGATGACATTAGCCAACACCTTTCCTGATCAGAATCTGCCTGCCCAGGTCTGTCATGGCAACAGAGCCTGTTGAGAGTATCCCGCCATGCTTCTCAGTTACATGGAGGGTAGGCATGTCCTCTCAATAATTATGTCCCTTTATGGGAGTTTCTTCCCCCGGAGGTATGTGCATCTCTCAGCCAGTTTTTCCTCAGGCCAAGCATTCAAAGGAACCTTTCTACATCCTCCCTCACATGTTTTACATTACAGGAATTTTTTCAAAAGCTAGTCCCTTTCTATTTCTGTATCACAGGCAAGCCTCTGGACTTAACTTTATACTCAGAAAAGGGACTCATATTGATTAGAAAGCCAACATGTTTAAGCAGTATGAGCCTTCTCAAGGCTGGTGCTCCTTGTGTAGTATGGCTGAGTTCACGCATTGTGACAAAAAGAAACCATGGTTTCTTTTAAGCTTTGGTTTCCCACATTGGGCTAAGGCAGTGTTTCTCAACCTTGGCAGCTTTAAGATGTGTGGACTTCAACTCTCAGAATTCCCCAGCCAGTCATGCTAGATTCCCATATGGAAGCCAAAAGCAACAAATTGCATCAGAGCTTCATGGTCGAAAGTTCCTCTTTCAATAAAGGCCACCCATTGGGGATTATATGGTGAATGCAAGGAATCCAAGTGGCCACCCCAATTTGGCCAGGCAAGGATTATTTACTGATTTAGCAAATTATACTTTTGATCCGGAGAACTCCTCCCTTTGCTACTTTTGATAAGGGGAAAGAAAGGGCGAAGGAACGCCTTTCTTCACTGCTGTGTGAAAGCGTCACCCACACGGCCTTGAGTCAACAGCCAGCTTTGCTGCCTTCTCTCTTCTGCCCATCACCAGCCAAGGGAAAAACATTGGCCAATAGTGGAGAACATATATGTAGTTCAGGGTTGAACGGTTGTCTTCTCGGTGATCTCTGAGCATGATTATTTTCCTGTAGACATTTCATTACTAGGCTAGGTAACACCATCAGTGTAGGGAACAATGCAGTTTCCTGGCTGTTTCTACTGGTCAACCATGACCCTGAAGCTGGAATGGAGGAGATCCAGCTAATGGTCCCTGGCTCCCATATAATATTAACTGAAGGAATCTCGAGCTAACAGATTATTTAAACACTGATGACGCAAGTGGTAATATCACAATGTCGATCTCACCCTCTTATACTTGTATCCCCAAGTTGTCTTGTGGCTTCTTAATGTATGTTTTGCCTCTTGTTCTCCATTTCCCTCCCCTCTCCCGACAGATTACTACGAGTGAGAAAATGGAACACACTATCCTCTTGGCAGTCCCCAGATTTCCTGATTAAGTATCACTGCCCAGGATGTGAGCAACAATCACTATAAGGGTCATGCATTCTGGGAACTTTAAGGGTTCCTGGTTTCCAACAATAAATGAGAGGTGAAGGACAAAATATAGCAAACTAAAACATGAGTGACTAGGGGATGGGATACATGAAGGAAGCAGGAATTCCTTCAGTGAGATTTCAAGGGCTGGGGCAAATCATCCTTAAATTTCATGTCCTACCACGTAACTTTTCCCCATTCCACATTGTCTGTAAATACAGATGTTTCCTCTCCGATGCGAGGGCTTTTTTGGTGACTTAGAATCACATGAGGGTGAGTCAGCCCCTCTGCTCTTTATGCATGTGTTTCTTATACTGTAAAAACAAAAGAAAATATGCCCAGTAAACCACAGCAGCATTTCTCTGTGGATTGTGGACATATTAATGGATTATAACTGTTTTTCATTCATGCAGTACATACCATGTCAGGAGCATATCGAAAACAAAAAACGGAGCCTATATCAAAGAAAGAGATAGTTCTTAAGAAGGATTTTATGGCATGCAGTGCTATCAGTTTTTTTCTATTTAGCCAAATGTCCAAAACAAGCTAAGAACCATATCTTATTCTAAAGGTTGTATTTGAATAAAGACAGATCTAACGAAGTTTAATGAGGAAAGACGGAATAAGCTGGCTCTTCTCCTTCTTCTAGAACTTGCAGCTGCTAACCAAACTTAGACTTCTCGCCACTCCATTTCAGCAATTGGAATAAGGAACGTTGCAGGACTGTGTTTCAGTAAAGTAGGTCTTGCTTTTAATACTATGCATGCTTGAACAGAACATTAATATTCAACAAAAGCTAAAAGGAAACAAGTTTTTAGTAAAAACAGGAAAGTCAAGGCTCTTCCAGATACAGGCAGAGAATCAGCACTTATAATGAGAGGTGAGTTTTCCTATTGATCCCATGGGATTTGCAATTGATCCCACCGGATTTGCAATTGCATACAATGTTGGCACATCTCTGTGCCTACAACAGTATACCTGTGGAAGGAGGAAGTTCTGTTTTAAAGCAGTGAATGCCACTTCTAGAATGTCAAAATATTGCTGCCTGGATTCTAAAGGGATGGTCTGTTCTGTCCTTGGAAAGATTCTTGTCTTGTTCTGGCTCCTATTGTAGGTTTAGCTTGCAAAGGCAGATTTGCCCAAATGCAGAACTGCCAGAATACCAGCATTAGGAGTTTGGAAGGCAGAGAATTTTTGTCACCATGGCAAGCACAGAAATGTAAGGAAATGGTACCAACAGGGGGAAGGGATGGATGCTTAGGCACAGGCCCAACAGGGTGGTAACTGCTGGCTAGCTCTCATTCTTGATAAACTGTTGGCCAGAAAATGCAAATGTTGATTGGCTGGTGGTTCTCCACAATGTCTGTAGTCTCTCAAAAATATAAAGGTGCCCGTGCTTATAGAGTCCTGACATCCAAACAGATCTGAAACTAATCAAAACAGCCTGAATCAAGTTGGGGTACATCTTAAACTGGGAATGAAATCTGGTCAGATGAAAGTACCCACTGATGGATGAACCACAGATAAACTTAGCTGAAGATCTTGGGTGATTTTCTTTGTTCCCTACATTGTTCCCTTCTTTGTTCCCTACATTGATGGTGCTACTCTTTGACTCAAAGCTCTGAAATTTCACTGTAAGATCATCCTCAAATTTCAGGTCACAGAGATGAATATTATCCTTGCCAGACTAAAGTTGTACTGCCAGATTTTTCTTCTCTCTCTCCTTCTCCAGGTTGCAAAATCATCTTGAATGTTTTGGGTGTATTTCCTTCTCTTCAGTAGTGATACTTTGGCCTCCATATATACCATAGATAGAGTTGACATTCTGAACAAAACCTCAGTGAGGGCTCTGAAATGTAGTAGTAGATCCCACATGATGACTTTCCAGTTGTATTGGACACTGCAACTTCCCTCTTGCTATCTCTCCTACTCAATCATATTCACAGGATGGCATCCTGGAGTCATGAATAGACAGGCCAGCCAGATCCCAAGCCACCACCAGTGGAGGAGAAACCCAGACTGCTGACCCTACACATTATTCCCACCAGCAACAATTTGCAATCAGCAGACTGGGAGGCAGGAGGTGATGGTGAGGAATCATTATGGCATGTTGAACCAGCTTCTTTGAGTATTACCGAGAGAAAAGACAGGATCTTCACCTGCCATGCTGTTGCGTTTCACAGCAGTCTTTGGTCTCTGGAAGTAGCTATTTTGTAATGACAAACAATAGAAATACCTGTATTCGTGGTGATGCAATTGCCTAGGACTTTCAAGGCAGATGGGTCCATCATAGCTTGCCATTCTAAGAACCATAAAACTGGAAGAGCCGCTGTTTAAGTTGATTGTCTTTTCCTGCCTCTCCTCTTTTTCTTCTATGCCATATCTGATAAACCTGATGGAAGATTGTTTGGTACAGCTGCTATAAATAAAATTAATTAATTCACTATCATAGGGCTATAACTATAGATTCTTCTGTAGTTTAAAAAAAATGCACGTGAGCTTCCAGGAAACAAAACATGAGTCTGAGAAGGGTTAACTAATAAGCCTGATTGGTAAATATAGCCTTGTGCAATAAACTTGTAGGTCTCATGTTGACTGAATCATCTTCAAACAAAGACATCAAAGTTCAGAAGATGAGAAATGTTCTGTTCTTTCTAACCCCAAGTTCGTGTAGTGAAATGGAGCCAAAATGGGAGATTTCAGTACACAAGGGGGAATTGAGCGGTTGGTAGAAGTACAACTAGTCTTCCTTTTTTAAAACAAATGCATAAGAAATAAAGCTTTCTGTATCACTGGTATATAACTCCAGTTCTGATTGCTCAGATGGACAGTTAATTTTCTAAAAACTTTGGGAAATGCAATGATCTGGTCAAACGTTATTTTCATATTTGGTGACAATATGGGAAAGCTCAACAATTCTGGAACATGGTTTACGTGAGTATGACATAAATTTTAAAAGTTGAATTCCCATTCCAAGCTGCAATATTCTTCTTAGTTTTTACTCAACCGTATATTCCCATAAAGTATACTGAATTAACTTGGTACATGTTAACTGCTGTGAGGATACGTTATGCCTTATGTTGGAAAGTTTGATCCAGTTTGTGGATGAATGGCTAACTTGTGGGAGTCTGTTTTGATGTTCAAAATAATTTTGTATCTTAAAAGTAAATCGGATATAGAATATCATTCCGTTTGGAAACTGTTTCTAGATTACAGTTTCATATGTGGATTTGTACCGCGTGTAAAATTTGGGTTTTTCTTTACGTAAAGTCTTATTATTTCAGCTTTACAGAATGTTTTAAATCAGAAGACACCTTTAACAGTATGGATAGAATCAATTGTAATTTATAATCTCATTTTATTCTCTATACTCTGATGACTATTATTCCAGATGTTTATTTTTCTCTTTAATGTTCTACAGCAAGACGCCATTTTTGAAAGCAATATAATTCACTCGACCATTTATAACAAACTAATGGAATGCTGAAAAACTTCCACGATACACGAGGGCTTTTTTGGTGACTTAGAATCACATGAGGGT